AACTCGCTTGCCAGGAGGTGATGCACTCATGCTGCACTTGATGGTAAATAGTAGCTTCATATGCCTCTTCCTGTCAGATCTGTTTTCAGTGAATCTGTTTCTCTGGCCTTCAACTGCATGTTTTCCTTTTTTATTTTTTCCCCCTCCTTTCCTTCTCTTTTCTAATTCAAGTGTGTTATTTCTCCCAAAGGAAATTATTTGTGTCATAGGAGGCAAATTAAGCTCTTCTCATAAGGCCTTTGTTTAAGTTTCCTATTTATTAGCATTAGGCATGCTGTGTTCCTTCCCCTCACCCTCTCTTTACATAAACAGGAATGTGGGAGAAGTAACCTAGTGGATAGAAGCCATCCATGCCTTGATCATAGTTAAAGTTATCTCCAAAAAGCTTGATTTCTACGATGAACATGATACCTTGGGGTGGAGAGGAGGGGGCAGAGCTAATGGAAAAGCATGACCCAGCTTATAGCATTTTTTGTCTGATGACAATGTCTGTCAGACTAAGTTCTTCAAGACTCAGTTACTCTCTTTTGAAATGTCTGTTAAATCCCATCACAAACCATATCAGAAGTTCTCAGTTCATGAGTCTTCTGGCATTTAAGGGTGGGTCTCGGTAACCCAAAAGGACATCTGAATTTTATTCTGGGATGTTTTGTTATGTGTCTGCCAAGTTCAGATACTCCAGAGCATTTGGGAATTTGCAGAGTAGCGAGCTGGGAGATGCCATGGCTCTGCAGGTCTCTGGAAGCCAAAGTTTCCAGGATAACTGGCAGTCGTGCAATTTGTGGCTCAGACACTGTCCAACAGCTATCAGAACTCAATTATGGCATCATAGTAACATAGTATGATATTATAATTGAGTATTCTCACAGTTCTATGTGATGATGAGAATGCTAAGGCAAAATATTCTTGTTCAAGGGACTTGCAGAATGCTGATGGTATTTTCTTCATGCTTCCAGAAAACAGTTATTCCTGGACTATGCCTCTGGGTTGGCTAAATGGTGCAATGGCTCACATCTTGGGCTGAGAGCACCCATTCTCTCCCACTGTTTAATGCCACTAGTTATTTTTCCCCTTGTGAAAACTTATCCTCCATACGTTAGAAACAAAACTTTGTTTTTCCTTACTTGTCTGTTCCTGACTTTTCTCTCTTTTTGAGGCACCCATGTGAAAGTTTTCCCTTTGTTATACTTTATTGCTAGAGGACAGTCTTGAAAGAGACATTCTTTGAGAAGTGTAGCTTGCTGGAGCCAGAGTGTATTATTATTACCACCACATGGAGAAAAGAAAATTACTTCTATTTGGAGAACAAGAAATACAGGTGTATAATTATAATAGATCCCTGTTCGTTCATCTACTCTGGGGGTACACCTTGCATTCTTTTCTGCTATTTTCTTTTAAAAAGTAATTACCATGTGAAGATAACTGGGATCACTGTATGCAAGGTCAGGCACAGAAATATCATGTTTTACTGTTGAGGAGGCTCATCTCTTCTGAATTTATGGAAATGCTAGACATATGGAAGCTCCTGCCAGCCATATCATGGGAGCACAAATCCCGAGCATATTCTGAGAACAGGAATGGCACATAAATACCTTTGCTTTTAACAATAACCTTTTCAAACTTTGCAGTAAAATCAATTACATTAGGATGAATGCAATAATCAATTTTGTTTGATTTCATTCACTCTGTGTGTCTGATTTGTATTGAGTTGATATTCAGGGATGAACTATTGCCACTGTTTCTTTCTTTTTGCTGAGAAAAGAGGAAAAATGAAGCATTTGTTTTTCTTATGTCACAAGTTTGAAAGTTGTTTTTTCAGTAATTGTTATATGTTCATATGCCATCTGTTTTCTGTTTTCTTCCATGGCTTTCTTTAATTTCAGATCTCTGTAATGAGTACACTTGAGAAGTTTGACTTGGAGATAAATGTTTACTTACTCAAATAAAGGTTACCAGTCACCTCTCTGGTCCTTAAAAGTAGCAAGTACATTCTACAAATCTTAAAGATAATTCTAATTTTTTTCAACTTTCCATTCAACCAACTACGTATGTATTCCTTCATCTTCTTAAATCAGGAGTACCTAAGATTTTGATGATCCTGAACATATACTGGGAAAAAGATCTTTTTATACTTGTTATACTTTTTTCGAATTCACCTCAGTATCTACAGGCACTCACACTTAGAAAAGAGCATTTGGATAAGATGGACCTTTGCTCTGAGCCACTGTGGTCATTCTTCTGGCTTATGGCCAAGTTTATTGAATGTCCTGCTTACAATTGCCTTCCTGAGCTCCTTCTTGGTATTTCTAAGTCTCAAGTAGCTTCCTTATAGGCAAAATCCTATTTATGTTCCAGCCTTACCCTTTTTGGCATCTTTTGTTTTTCATTTGGGATTTTTAGGTACTACCAGAAAAAAAAAAGATTGTATATTTCTGCTTTATCTTTATTAAGTGTTTAAATAGTTCATAAATCATCTTGGGTTTAAAGATTAACTCTTTAGAGCTATCCAGTTCAACTGCTTCTAAAATATTCTTTTTAACACAGATGCATATGCTAAGACAAGATTAAATTTACACAGTTGTTTTGGGGTTTTTTTATTTCCGGATTTGTCTTTCTTAGCCATTTACAAGTATTTTTCACAGAGTTTTACCGAAATGTCCCTGTCTTTCCTGCTCACTGAGAAACAGTTTTAAATTATTAAATTCTGTGGTTTGTGGATAGTATGTGAATAGTCTGTAACAGAAAATGATGTTGGCTGTGGAACAGAACACTAGCCATTTAGCATAAGACATCTCATACACTGTGTGGAGTGTTTGTATTATGAAAGATGAGAAAAAGGGGGTAGTCCTTGTGATTAGCTGAATTATTACTGAGTCAGAAGCTTCTGTTATTTATAGCCATGAAGGTCAGGGGTCTTGATGTGCAATGCCCTTGTCACAGAATAAAAGTTTCAGGATGTCAGCTGTAGCTTCAGCCAGCCATGGGGTGTCAGCTCCCAAGCATGCAAGTATCAAATACAACATCAACACTTTATACTCCATCCTTCATTAAATGCTCTAGGATTTAATGAAATCACATGTGGTATCTGGTGTAACAGCACAGCTTGTTCTTATGGATTTATGTGCTAGAGAGAAGCAAACAAAATTACACTATCAGTGAATTATCTACCATTAGTTTCTCTAGAAGGCTCCTCACAAGCTGTTCTTTTCACTCTTGCTTGTTGCAATAACAAATTTTTTTTATGTCTGACATTACTTTCTTTTTATGTGGTTCGTGAACAAAAAAACTCAGAACAAATCTTGCAAGGTTATCAGTTCTTTCTTTGCTTAGCCTGTAGTTTTATCTTTTCCCAGAAAGATCAAACTTGTTGAGACTAGTTTGTTAATTCCCAGATGTAGCACAGCCTAATCCCTGAGGTTTGTGCAGGAATGTGCTAGTTCTCCATTCCCTTAATTCTTCTAATGAAAAATAAATGTATCCAATGTCATCTTGGTGAAAACCAATGGTTGTTCTTTTCAGTCATCTATAAATGCTGAAAAAGAGACAACACTATACAAGATGATCTCTTTGGAATACTTAGCATTTTTTTCCCCACGTATTTGTGTGATTCCTTGCTGCAGATGGCTCTAGGCATAACCACAATGTCAATACAGTTCATGTGTTGTTTTTCTTACTTGGTGTGTGCGTGCAGTTACATAGCCCTGCAGGTTAGGAACCAAAATGTATTGCACATCAGCGATTTCAATTTGATCCTAAACGTTTTGAAGAACAGCTGCTTCTCCATTCAGAAGTACTGAGCAGCCCTTCAGGAGAAGGAAAACTCCTAAATTGTTACAGCAAGTGATTAAGTTTGTCAAGCTGTTTTTAATGCAAACCTGGGAACTATTTTCTCCCTAATGTAAAATGGGTATCAGACTTCTGATCTAAATAAGAAAGGCCTAGCAAAGTTTTAATTAAATGCTAGCAGAATACTTTGGGGCTTCATAGCAGAAAGTAGTACAACTAAGTGTAAGTTAATTGCCAATTTTGTTAAATAAACTGCAAGATGTATAAAAGTAATACAGAAAAATAGATGCTTTCTTGCTGTTTCCTTTTAAGTGTTACTGTTACCAGAGGCTAGATCATTTCTTGGTAGAAATATTAGTGAAGGAAATTTTTGTTAGTATGTCCAAAATCGAGAGACAGTATTGACTTTTACAAGATTCAGAGAATATCAAGTTTATAAAACTCTATCTGTAGTCTGGGACAAGGACATTTAAGATACTGCTTATTAGTATAGAGAGTTAATACTAAGGATAATCTTTCTTAAGAAAATATAGTTGATATCTCTAGAAGTCAAAACAAAACCAGGTCCTTTAGAAATAAAATATTTCAGAACATCTCTTGAATTTGCCTGTTCTGTTTTAAGTAATTAAAAGCTACTCTTTTGCCATTATGTAGAAGTTGCTAGAAATTCACAGTATATTTTAATTCCAGCTTTGTTCTAAATCCCATTTTATCAGTTACTGGAAACTATGAAATTTCCCATATTTAGTCTAAAATGAAAGATGTTACTTTTGGGAGGGAAAGGAGTAGCTTCAGGCCAATTCGTTTCAACCAGTTTCTAATTATTC